ATCAGATTTTTTAAGCTGAACCTGTTATTTTTACAACTCTTCCTTGAATTCAAAGTGTAAGGAAGGAGAATTGTTTGATCAGTGCACACTGTTGTTCCAAAAATGTGTCAGTGTGTCTACTGATCATGAGCAGTAGTCCTGTACCTGTTGTTTGGACTGCATTTAAAATCTCATTAGCAAGACTAGTGTAGTGACTCCGGTCACTGACACCAGGATTCCATGTTGAAGTACTAGTTCTAGTTCTAGCCACTCCACTTCCTATCCAGCAACCTGCAGATATATTTTGGAAGGCAACATAAGGTGACCCAAGTATGTGGGCTGCTGCCACCCACGTGGGAAACCTGGTAAAGTTTCAGGTTCCTCCTGGCTTTTGGCCTGGCCCAGTCTAGCCACTGGTCGTTTGGGGAATTAACTCACAGGTTAAAGATTCTCTCTCTGACTTTAACTGCCTTCCAAAATAAATGAATAAGTCTTTAAAGAATAAAAAAACCGGGGCCGGCGCAGTGGCCTAGCAGCTAAAGTCCTCACCTTGAACGCGCCAGGATCCCATATGGGCGCTTGTTCTAATCCCGGTAGCTCCACTTCCCATCCAGCTCCCCGCCTGTGGCCTAGGAAAGCAGTCGAGGACGGCCCAAAGCCTTGACCCTGCACCCGCGTGGGAGACCCGGAAGAAGTTCCTGAATCCTGGCTTCGGATCGGCAAAACATCGGCCGTTGCACTCACTTGGGGAGTGAATAATCAGACAGAAGATCTTCCTCTCTGTCTCTCCTCCTCTCTGTATATCTGACTTTGTAATAAAATAAATAAGTCTTTTTTAAAAAAACAAAGGAAAGAATAAAAAACCTGCGCTCCGAGAGTCAAGGAACTACAAATCCCGACAGCCACCGGGGCTGAGTGCTTCCGGCTTGCGCGTCCTGTCCCTTTCCCTGCCGTCGGTGGAAGGGGCATGATGGAGCAAGAGGGCTGAACCTGCAGCTGCGGGTGGGGGCTGCCATCCGCAGACCCTAGATGTCTCCCTAGAGCATGAGCTCGGACAAGAACGCCCACTACAGCCGCTTCTCCGGGAGGCCTGCCGACCTGCCCTCCCCTGATGCTGCTGCTGGGACCAGAATGGAAACCACATTTGGGCCTGCTTTTTCAAAGCCGTCACCACCGTCACGAAAGCTGACAGAACTGCCACTTACAAACAGCACCGCAGGTCGCCCTCCTCCTCCAGCACCCTGGCCGACTTGCCGCGGGATGAGAAGGATAGCATGCATGCCTTCCATCAGCACGCCCCGCCATCTCCGTCAGCCCCGTGCACTCCGAGCCCAGCATGTCCCTGCACTCGACCTTCTCACTGGCCGAGGAGGAGGAGCTGGAGCCACTGGTGTTCGCTGAGCAGCCCTCGGTGAAGCTGTGCTGCCAGCTCCATTGCAACGTCTTCAAGGACCCTGTGATCACCGCGTGTGTGCATACATTCTGTAGAAGATGAGCTTTGAAGTCAGAGAAGTGCCCCTGGACCACGCCAAGCTGACGGTGGTGGTGAACAACATTGCGGTGGCCAAGCAGCTCAGGGAGCTCTTCATCCACTGCAGGCACGGCTGCCAGGTGATGGGCGCCAGGAAGCCCCCGGTATTCGAAGTGGATCCCGTGGGTGCCCCTTCACCATCAAGCTCAGTGCCCGGAAGGAGCATGAGAGCAGTTGTGACTACAGACCCATGCAGTGCCCCAACAACACTGGCTGCGCCCTGTTCCTCACCATGAATCTGGAGGCACACCTCAAAGAGTGCGAGCACATCAAGTGTCTTCACTCCAAGTACGGGTGCACATTCATCAGGAACCAGAACACATATGATACGCACCTGGAGACTTGCCACTTCGAGAGTTCCGGCAGCAGAACAAGATGCACGTGGCATTGGCCCAGAAGGAGCAGGGGATCAGCTTCCTGCACTCCATGCTGGGCAACCTCTCCGAAGGAGTCAACTAGCTGGAGAAGAGCCTGGAACTCAAGTTCGACGTGTGGGATGAGAATCTGAGTAAGCTCAGTGAGGATCTCATGGAGTTCCAAAGGGACACATCCCTGCTGAACGACGAGCTGTCCCACATCAGTGCACGGCTGAACATGGGCATCCTGGGATCTTAAGGCCCTCGGCAAAGTTTCAAGTGCAAGACCTTCGTGGACGACCAGGGTCCAGTCTGGTGTTTCTATGACTACTGGATGGGAGACCTGCTCTTCAGCAGCTCCTCTGACAAGACCATCAAGATGTGGGACACATGTACCACCTACAAGTGCCAGAAGACACTGGAGGGCCAAGATGGCATTGTACTGGCACTCTGCATCCAGGGATACAAATTCTACAGTGGCTTAGCAGACTGCACCATCATTGTGTGGGACATCCAGAACCTGCAGAAGGTGAACATCCGGGCCCACAACAGCCCCGTGTGCACGCTGGACTCCTCCCACAACATGCTCCTTAGCCCACAACATGCTCCTTAGCGGCTCTCTGAAGGCCATCAAGGTCTGGGATGTCGTGGGCACTGAGCTGAAGCTGAAGAAGGAGCTCACGGGCCTCAACCACTGGGTACGGGCTCTGGTGGCCACTCAGAGCTACAGCGGCTCCTACCAGACGATCAAGATCTGGGACATCCGGACCCTCAACTGTATCCACATGCTACAGACGTCTGGCGGAAGTGTCTACTCAATCGCGGTGACGAATCACCACATCGTGTGTGGCACTGCCTCATCCGTGTGCGGGACATTGAGTCCAAGGAGCAGCTGTGGACCCTGACAGGCCACATAGGCACAGTATATGCCCTGGCAGTCATCTCTATGCTGGACCAGACCAAAGTGTTCAGCGCATCCTACTACTGATCCCTGAGGGTCTGAAGTATGGACAACATGATCTGCACACAGACCCTGCTGCACCACCAGGACAGCGTGACAGCGCTGGCTGTGTCCCAGGGCTGGCTCTTCTCAGGAGCCATGGACAGCACCGTGAAGGTTTGGATTTGCTAGCTGAAGCCAGGCCAGGCTAGCCACATGACAAGGTCTTGGGGTCTTCGGCCTGCCCTGGGGGATGAGTGGACGGGCTCAGGTGGTCGGCAGTGCCTTCCCTGCCCCACACTCAGCCTCACTCCTTTGGCCTGGTCCTTCCTGTTGCCCAGACAGTGGCCAGGGCCCTCTCCCTGGGCGCCAGGTATGCCACCTGCAGCCCTGCCCTCCCCCATGCCGGCCCACGGGCCTTTTTATTGCCCTTTTCTACTGTTTTTAGGCTGTACATAGATTTGATTACTCCTGATGGAATAAACGCTGCACCCACTATGGGGGAAAAAAAAAGAATAATAAACCACTAGCATATATTATGGGCCTCTTTTATATTAATTGAGGACAATAAAAAGCAAAGAATAAAAGTTTATAAATGTTGAGTTTTTTAAGGTTTTTTTTTTTCCCCTCTACTGGATACCATTTAGATGAGTGGAAAATTACATTAGAACAAAGTGGGAGCTTTTTGGCTGAATTTCAAATGAGGTAGTTATGTTTCATTTCTCTCGGTTAAACTGCGTTATTGGAGATGCTATTCACACGTGAGGCTGGACAGTTCTTGGTTCTGCAGAGCTGTCCTATGCACTTGGGATGCTTAGCAGTGTCCTCTAGCAGTGTACTTGGTAGCAGTTCCTTTCAAGCTGTGAGGACTAAAATTATTCCCAAGCTTGGCCAAATGTCCCCTGGAGGGACAAAATCTCCAGTGGTCTAAATTTAGATGGTTTTCGTGTGTTTTATTACAGTGACCTCTAACAACAAAAACCTAACAAATTGTAGCTGAGGCATTTGAATTGTAGTTGAACTTGCTCATTTTTGAAACATACAACCCCTCCTTTGAAAACGATAAAATGAATTTGGACAACCCACCAAATTAAGCATTCTACTTACATTCCTCTGCTAAGTCTAGAGATTTCTCTACAGTTTACTGTTGGGCAGTTGTAAGGGAGGCAAGGATCAGGGTTATTTGAGATTGTAAAAGCTGCAGAATGTCTGGAATAAAATGAAGCCTGACAATAACAAAAGGGTGTATTCTGATCTGATGCACGTTCTCAGCCTATGAACTCTGGGATTGTATGCAACACATGGCCCAAAGGAGACCATCAGTTCTCTGGTGTGCTGGTAATGAATAGCTCTACAAACTCAATTAGCTATAATTCTATCAGTCATTTCATTGGGGTAACATTTTGTTTAAGAGGAAGAAAAACAACAGTCCTTTCCTTGGGGATCTGTAATTAAGCTGTGACTTTTGATGGGAACAGTGGAGGGGAAGGTACTGTGCTTACCAATTTGCTTGTATTATTCCCATCTGAAAGTAAATCATGATGAAGTGCCGCGCTCAAGGCTGTTAAGAAAGACATTTGTGTATCCTAAATATGTAACAGGGTGAACACAAGTATATCCCTAGCTATTGCTTTTGCTTTATGTGGGCATCTGTATTGTACACCTCTGGGAAATGACCATTCTTACCAAAGATCTGTGCGTAGGGCCGCTGGAGTTGTGTTGCTTGAGGTGCTAAGTGTTGCTTCCCTTCCTTCCTTCCTGTTTTTCCTGCTCCCTGAAAAGCAGTGTGCATCCAGAACCTCAGTAGTAGATGATGTCCTGTCTTTTTGTTGCAGCCATGCTGCTGCACTAGACTTGGCAATGCTCGCTCTCATGCTGACAATAACAACATCGATAGTCTTTGTTTGCCTTTCTCCTGCTAGGCATTTTATGGATAGCAGTTATTCTATGTGAGTTTAAACATATAAAACCTTCACACTACGTTGTCCTCTATTAGACGATGTTATTTTATTGATGTCTTCTGGGCATTTCGGAATATTTGTCTCAACCCACACATGTGGGTGGGGATTTGTTTTCTGTGAAGTTTTAAGATTTGCAGCTTGTGGCACAAATTAATTAGTTTAATAGGGGGAGAAAAGCACAGTGGGTTACTGTCTTGGAATTTCAATTTAGTTTTCTTGCCGTCTTCCCACAGCTAGCCAAAAAAATCCGTGAGAAGTTCAACCGATACTTGGATGTGGTCAACCGGAACAAGCAAGTTGTGGAAGCATCCTATACGGCTCACCTAACCTCTCCGCTAACTGCAATCCAAGACTGCTGCACTATTCCACCTTCCATGATGGAGTAAGATGAACGTTTTTGTTTTTGGTTTTGAAATCATTTCTGATGCTGTCAAATTACATACACTGTTTTATGTTCAAAATATCTGTGTTTATGACAGTGTGTCCTTTATTTCCTGTTAAGAAACTCTTTTAAAGAAATGTGACTGCTTGCTCTGTAACAAGAAAATACCCGGACCTCCTCCATTGCCCTGTTTCAGTAAAGAAGCAGCAGAGTTCAGGGTCAGGAGTATCAGCCTACTATCAGAGCAGTCTGCAGTTAGTAGGAACTGCAAGCAGTTTGTAGTAACTTGACTACTAAGTCTTGAATGAGATAATCTCTGGTTCTGGGAACTTGCTTAAGACATGTTTTTATTCATGAATGAGTACCCAAAATATTCCACTTCTTACTTTTGAAGATACTGTCATTTAAATTCCCAAGGGGAATGTGATTTCACTTAATAGTGAAACAGGTTTTGTTTCTGCATGGTTGAGATTATAATTTGTTGATTAGTAATTTTATATCTGAATGGGTGTAGGGTCATGTGATGTTAGAAGTTGTAGTGGAAAGAAAAATTTGTATAGAGGTACAGAGAACTTAAATTTGATTTGGTTTGTAGTTAATTGTGTCCTTAATCAAGTTTTCTAAGGTGCAATTTTTTAGTTTTTTTAAGTGTGGATTATAACCTCTATGATGCCAGATTTTTATCTCGAGTTAGTAAAAGTTGTTAATGAGCTTTAAAAAACATATAAGCATAATTGTTAGTCTGCAATTTCCTCTCTTTTTTTCTTTTTTTTTGTGTATGTGAAGGTAGGAAATGGGTAGGTACAGTATAATCAGTTAAATGATGCTTTAATGAAACAATCAAGTTTGTACTTATTATAGATTCCTGTACTTATTTTAGATAGCCAAGCAACATTTAAGTCATCTTCTTTCTCCACGTGAGCCTCTCTCTGGCTTACCACCCCCTCATGGCCTGAAGAAGCTCCTACTGGTCGTCCTCCAAACTAAGTGGAAGATACATGCATTTTGGAATGAGACTGGTTAGGAACTCTGCCTGCAGCACTTGGTTTTGGATAATTTGATGTCTTTGATCCAGCCTATCTTCGTTTCTAGGATGAAAATAATATAATTAAGACTTCACAGGGTAGTATAAACATTCAGTGAAATAAAATATGAAAATATTTAGTGAGCTGTAGTGCTCTGAATAAATATTAGACACGATTTTTTAAAGAATCATTTTTTATACTTCTAAAGATTTATTTACTGATTTTTTAAAAAATGATTTATTTTTAGTAGAAACTCAGATATACAGAGAAGAGGAGAGACAGAGTGGAAGATGTTGCATCTGATGATTCACCCCCCAAGTGGCTGCAATGGCGGGAGCTGTGCCAATCCAAAACCAGGAGTCAGGAGCCTCTTCCAGGTCCCCCACGTGTGCGCAGGGTTCCAAGGCTTTGGGCCATCCTCGACTGCTTTCCCTGGCCACAAGCAGGGAGCTGGATGGGAAGAGGGGCTGCTGGAATTGGAACCGGTGATCATATGGGATCCTAATATATGCAAGGCGAGGACTAACCATTAGGCTACCATGCCAGGCCCTATTTTTCATGTTTTGTTTTATTTGTTTGTTTATGGAAAGCAGGGAGGCATCTTGCATCTGCTGGTTTTCTCTCCAAATGCCACAGCAATGAGGGCTTGAGCCTGGTTAAACACAAAAGCCTAGAATTCAGCTCAGGTCTCCCTGATGGGTGGCAGTGACCCCAGGCCTTGGGTCAGCATCTGCTTCCTCTCGGGATACACCATGGCTGGAAGCTGCAAACTAAAGTGGAGCTGCGAGCTCCTGGTCCCAGGCCTGATAATGCAGGATGTGGACGTCCCAGATGGTGTCTCAATGGGCGCGCCCTCTGACCACTCCCAGCAATAGTATTTATAGGCTTCTCTGTTATAGTGCATAATTCAATTTCAATATTTTCAGAACTAGGAGAAAAGACAATATTGTGAGAAGTTGCTAGAGCTAGAATTCAGTCTCCCCTCCCTGGGAGTCATTGGCAATGTCTGGACACATTTTCAGTTGTCACAGCTGCAAGATGGGGAATAGTTCCTACCTACATGTAGTACCAGAAGTAATGCTGTGCGCTGTACATAGGATAGCACCCTGCAACAACTGATCAACCCAAAATGTCTGTCATGTTGAAATTATAAAACCCTGGCTGGCAGAATGGGGGGTCTTCATCAACGTGGACATAGAACCAGTAAGAGAGAGAGAAAGCGAGCAAAAGCAAAACTTGAATTAGTTGACTTCTGCTAGGACATCTACCCTACTATTAGCCCACCCGTAAACCATTATGCCTATTGCAAGATGTACTCAACAACTGCGCTTTTGCTGGAGCTTCCTGCTGTGTTTGATGTTGTCCCCTTTTTTTTTTCCATTTGTTCTTGGAAGAACCTACTGCTCTCATATAACCTTTGTTCCCAAGCTAGTATCCGTATACCTCTAAATAGCACAGACATCGATGTGTGCCACCTTGGTGGTGAGTCTGCCTCCCCTGCTGTTCCAGGCAGGTATTACACCTCTGACGTCTGGCAGGTGTTTAATTATTAGAATCTGAACAGCTTAGAATACAAGAATGAATAAGGCAAGGTCTGCTCTCAAGGAGTGTGTACATTACTGAAGGCTGCCGTGACAAACACTGAGCAGAACTGATGGGACCAAACATGTCACAACATAATCCCTCGAAGCAAAGATTTATCCAAGGTATTGAATTCTGCAACTTTAGAAATGTATTATCTGATCTTGCCATTTTAAGATAGATCACACACACAAAAAAATTAAAAACCTCTTCATGAAAACAGTTTTTGTAGTGTATTAGGATGAAGAAAATCAATTCAATAGAGAGTTGCTTAGGACAATTGTTGTACCATCCATATATGACCTGACAAGATACAGCCATGATGCAGAAGCTGACCTATGAAAATGGTCTTACAGACACGCACACACGCATCCACTTGACATTTGGCAGGACTTGCTCAAAGTTTTCTAGGGGTATGTATGAGATCTGTCGTGGCAAATATAGCAAGTTAAGCAGCCACCTGAGACACCAGCCTTCTGGAAGTGCTGGTTCGAGTGTTGGCTGCTCCATTTCCAACCCAGCTATCTGCTAAAGTGCCTGGGAAAGCAGCAGAGAATGGCAGCTTTGGTCTCTGAACTGAATGGTGAAGTGATCTGCTTCACCATCTGCTTCCTTACTGGGAAGTTGACAGAGCTAGGAGCTGCCATTTGGAGGGTGAATGGGAAAACCCAGGTCTGAGGTTAAAGCTGAATAATAAGAATAAGCAGGGGTGAGTGAGGCAGACATAAACACTTTCTGGTGACGCATTCAAGGGTTTCTGATGCCAGCAGTTTGCAGCTGAAAGTTTTCCATCTACTCTTGGACTGAGTCTCCCTGACTATGAATAGAGCTTGTTTTCCAGGGAAATATGTATAGAAATTGTTGCATTGAATTTGAACTGATGCACATGCTGGTGGAACATATGCAATTTGTAAATTACAAGAGCACTCCATCCCCCAGAGCTTTTTCATGAGCCTCAGAAGAAAGAATGAATGAGTTATTGGGATATGCCAGGATAAGAATTCTTAGCTTGGGCACTGCACGATGGCCTAGCAGCTAAACTCCTTGCCTTGTGCCAAGATCCCATATGGGTGCCAATTCTAATCCCAACAGGCCACTTCCTGTCCAGCTCCCTGCTTGTGGTCTGGGAAAGCAGTCGAGGATGGCCAAGATCCTTGGGACCCTGTGCCCACGTGGGAGACCCAGAAGCTCCTGGCTTCAGATTGGCTCAGCTCCAACCATTGTAACCACTTTTGGGGAGGAAGATCTTCCTCTCTGTCTCTCCTCCTATCTGTCCATTGAACATAAATAAATACTTTTTTAAAAAGAATTCTTAGCTTGAAGACTTTGTTCCAGCCGTTCAAAAGCCCTTTTATTTGCATATTATAACTGTTATAGTTCTTTCCTATATTCCAGTCCCCACCCAAGATGTCTTTATTTGAATCCCAGGGAGTTGGTATTGGAGTTGCAAAAAGTAAAAATTCCTGCTTTTGCTAAGCAACTTGAAGGTACTAATAACAATATTTTCCATGCTAGTCATATTTGGCTTTGAACCAGCCACACCTCTGTGACTCAAAATCAACCATGGAAGTCACTTAAATTTCTGAGTCTCCTTTTCCTAATCAAAGAATGGAAACAATAGTAGTACCTACTTCACAGAGTTGCTGTAGGGGAAATATTTTTATGCCATCTTCAGACAGACATTTAGTTCATATGTATTTATTTTAGTATCTTCCCCTCTGGGTAGTAATAATATAAAATTTCTTTTTCAAATATAAGTAAAAACATGGAATTATTTTAAATGAAAATTTAAAGTGAGAAATTTTGAAAGTGGAGGATATGGTAATGACTGAAGTTCATGAAAAATCAACTCAATTATTGGTGAAGTAGAATGGGCCATTCTAAGTGTGAGCTGTTGCACAGTGATTGGATAAGGAATCTGATGTCTTAGTCCTGCATCCTACCCATTCTGAAGTCATTGGGATCCTAGGAAAAAAAAATTAACTCAGCCCTCTCTCCAGGGGGCCAGCTGCTATTATGAACACTTTAAGTGATTAATGGTTTATTAGAGGTAAGACAATGTTTCTGCAGTTTTAATTACTAGTTAATTGTCACCTTTAGGACTGCAGAGATCATAACTCCCAAGTAGATTTTATTTTTACTGATTTATACTCCATATTTGATTTTCCTCAGTAAGACTTAACAGTGCACTTTGAAAAACATGCCATGCCCAGTTGGGAAGAGAAAAGTTTTAAAACTCCACTACAATGCATTCCACACAGTATACCCTGAAGGTTATATTAAGAGAACAGAGAGAAAACCCTGCAGAGTGGCAGAAAATTGGATTTTCAGATGGATTTGATACTCCCCTTCTGCAACCAACAAGTCAGCTCTTTTGACTCAGAAGCTTTGGAA